TAGGAGTCAGTTTTGTATTGTGTCCATGTAACATAAAACTAGAAGTAGATTTTTTTTTCTAATACAATGTGACCTGTCTAGTCATAGGTTTTTGCCCTGACAATGTTGCCATGTATGGATTTCCTTTTGTGGAATGGACCTTAAGTTCAATCAGAACACAGTTGGTTATTCTCATGATGTTCATTGCATTATTGCAATGTGGGGCATGTCTTGGTAGGCTAGTTGTTATTGTAGTTCCCACAGTTACAGCTGAGTAAGATTGATGGCATTAGTCTCTTCTGGTAGCATGCATAGCTCCTTCAGGGACAAATAGCAAGTAGAGACAAAGATTCTAAACAATTTCTCTCTGTCTTCAGCAATAGAATTTATATCAAATACTGGAAGGAAATGATGAGCTCTGCCAATAGCTTATAAGGTTGGAAGGCTACAGGATCTCATCAGCCAATAACTCCAAAATATGCAACTCATTCCTGTGACTGGGCTTTTTATTTGTTAATCGACCAGGTTTAGAAGGGGCATTGTTTTCAAGTTATAGGTTACCTACATTGAAACTGTTTGCATATGCATGTTTATATATGTTAAGACATTTCCACAGTAGTAGATTTCCATATGACTTTTTTTTAAAGGTCCTTAGTGATAGTTACTACTAACCACATTCCCTTCCTGACCCAGCTGTTCCACCCTTTACCCCAAATTAACCTTTCCTGTTTCACTATTAACTTTAACCTTTTATATCTCTGTATCATGCTTCCCCTTAAGTGAATATCCTTGTCATGGTCTCCAAACAATATCTTAACCACTATGGTGATTCCAAATGAAACACCCACATCTGAAGATTCAAAGCTAACATCCACAAACTGGGAAAACATCCGACATTTGTCTTTCTATGACTGGATTGTCTTTTCAGAATGATTGTTGTCAGCTATATCTATTTACCTGTGAATTTAATAATTTCATTTCTCTTAAGATCTGAATAACATTTTAGTTTATAAAGAAACATATTGTAGAAAATTATCAAAAAGATCCATGACTGGTCAAAATTGAAGAATGCTCAACCCTAAATGAGACATATGTATTCTATGACATATGTATTCCATCATTTCAAGACTCATAAATTGTCACCAAAGAGAAGGCAGGAAGATTGCAAGAGTTAGAAACTGTAGATAACATCAAAGAAACAGTGTTCTCTGGATGCAACATTGCAATTGCACACAAGAAATCACATTCGTTGCTACAATACAGACAAGAATTGTGCAAGCTCCAGCTAACCATAATTCCAGCATGGAGGGAGGGAAACCCACACAGAATTCTACCTCTAGCAGAGAATAATTGACAATTCAAGGCTGCTAGAAGAAGGGAGGTCAGTTTTCTTTAGGATTGTGGTCCCTACTAGATGGACCATGCTACATTGGAAGGCTACATTGCCAAGAGTACAAGAACAACATAAACTGGGCTTCATGGGTTTTAAAAAATAAAGAGAACAAAAAAAAAAGTTGAGTGGGTAGAGAATTGTAGATGGATCTGAGAGGACATAGTGGAGGGGGGGGTGAATATCTCCAAAATGTACTATGTGATGTTCTCAAGAAACTAATTAAAATGACAGATGACTGTCTTCTACCTTCTACCACTAAGAAATAAATACATGGCTTATTAAGCTTTTTAGGAGTCTAGCAGAAGCACCAGTCACAATAGAAAATAAATGTCTTAGCCTTTCCATGGTGATATGGAGAGACGCAAAGTCTATATGAGGTCTGGGACAGACATTGTTATTGAAAAGGTCCATGCTAATGTGCAAGTATTTTTTCAGGTAATCTGACAGTCCATACATTCTTGAAAGAACTGTAATTAGCATGTAACTATGTAGTATTTATAGGAAGTTTCAGTAGGGAACTTCTAACTTTGGTCCCATGATTTTTAAGATGAATGCCACCTGTAGGAAATAACTCACCACCTTTTTTCAAAATAAGATACAGCCTATCACAAGTCTTTTCAGCCACTGAGTGTCTGAAAAAGAGATAACACTTGTCCGTGTGATCAGATCTATACATCATGAGCTATGTTCTGTCAAATAGAAAAGTGACACAGCTCGGTGGACTCAGCATCAATCCATCATAAAATGCAAGTGTCATGGCTGGAGCCAGAGGAAACAGAGAAGCCACAGGAATAAAAGCAACAGACCCACATCACACTCCACTGTCATATCCATGCTTTCCACTCTCTTTCCACCTACGATAAACAGGACTATACTATTGTACCTGGCTTAGAAAGAATGAAAAAAGAAAGTTTCAGAATTTATTGTGTTGACTTTCCATTTTTAACATATCCTAAAACAATTTACTGTCCCATTATTTCCATACAGGATGGGCCCTGAAACTACATTGCGCAGGAAAACTTCACTGCTGCGGACTGAATGAGAACTATGCTGCATAGACTTGGGTATCTGAAAGCTTGTTCTCCAGTTGGTGGCACAATGTGGGGCTTTTGTGGAGACCTTAGGAGATGCAGTCCTGCTGCACTAGCATGTCATTGTGGGCAGGCTTTGAATTTGTAGCTTTATCCTATTTCAATTCACTGTCTGTGCTGTGTTCGCACTTAAATGTGCTCTCTCAATCAACATGCATGCTGTTTGCTGCTGTGCAGCCTTCATGATGAACGCATCCCTTCAGAAATGTTAGACATAAACTCTTCCTCCTAGAAGTCCTTGGTATTTTATCACAGCAACATAAAAGTAATTGATATACATCTAAATCATGTCAGCTTTGGATTGATTGCTTACCTAATCCTCTGCATTCTGTAGAAAAAGTGACTAGATATAAAAATACATGACAAAATATTTGATTATAAGTGTTATGGTTAATTTTCTATGGGCTTATAAGGAAAAATAAAGATCTGAGACAGGATCTGAGGAGGAATCTTTTGAGTGAACTTTCTGGAGTAGTTATGAATACAAACATTTCTCTTTTTTATTTTTAACATACTAATCAGAAGCCACTCAAGAGAATTTTAGAACTTATCCACCTAAGCTGAATAATTTAGGTAGCCTCTACTATCTAGGTTTACTGAATCATGAAAAGATTGGGCATGGTGATAGGCATGTAGGCTATTTGTGGAGTTCATCTTTGGACTCTAACTCATCAAATCTTACTGCTACGAACTGTCTAAACTCTAGCACCAGAGAAGAATCTGAACTTCACTAAATTATAATTTCCATAATAGCCTGACCTACTATTTTATTATAAATAGAATATTTTTAATTATTTCTGCTTCACGGAAGCCAATAAATAATCTCAACCGCTAGGTTTACATATACTCTAAGTATAAAATTTCCTGCCCAGCCTTCAAGAATACTACCAACAAAGGAGTTGGGCAGTGATGACCTCACTGACACACAAAAGAATAAATAGCACCAATTTCCATAAATATGTCTACAGTGAGGACTTTAATGGTCCTGTGATAAGGGCCTTCAGCATTTCACGTTGCTCAGACACTGCCTTCTGGAAACACTGTGCTACTTTTCATACCCTTAATTGTTACAAGGAGATAAAGCTATGCACTTTGAAAATAGTACATGAATGTAAACAATTGTTTTAGTTTACCATAATAATCTGAACCTTGCTTAAGATTTTTTTTTACTTCTTTTCCCTAATTATCTGAGTGTCTACAGTGGGGATATCCAATATAAATTCAATGACACATATTCAATTCTTCTTGTTTCATACACACATGGATTTTGAGCATATTGAATAGGGCTTTGTGATTATGAAGCTAATTTTTTATTCAATTTTATTTATATAACTTATATAGATTTATATAAATTTTCTTCTAGCTATCATATTAAATGGTGTATGTATTTCATACCACATTCCCAGAGAGAAATTCTTTAATCAACAACAATTGGAAAACCTTTCCCACTAGACATTCAAAGTTGAAATACTGCTGGTACGCAATATTTTCAAGAGGTGGATGGGAATGGAAAGGAATGGGGCATTTCAGTTTCAGTTGGCTCTAATTTACTTCATACAAAAGTTACTGTGATCAATGATGGGGGTAAGAAAGAACAGACTTGTACTCAGGTGTTCCACTAGAGTGTCTCTAAGTAATTATCTGTCCATTTCTGAGAAAGGTGTATGTAAATGGAGGCTTTTCTCTGTTCTGCCTTGTCCTTCGGCCACTTGTAAGCTTGTAAGTGATTATTTACATATAATCATTCAGAGGCATATATTAATTATAAATGTTAGGCCAATGGCTCAGTCTTATTACTAACTAGCTCTTACAACTTAAATTAACCCATTCTATTAATCTGTATTTCGCCACGTGGCCCGGACATTACTGGTCTGCTGGCATCTTGCTCCTTAGGTGGCTGGATGGAGTCTCTCTGACTCCACCCTTTTTCTTCCTGTATCTCTGCTTGAATTTCCCATCTGGCTTTCATCTTGCATTGGCATTGCCCAAGCAGCTTTATTCATCAACCAATAAAAGCAACACATATTCGCAGCATACAGAAGGACATCCCACATCAGGAATATTGGAATGAATTCTCACTTTTAGAGATGAAGGACAAGTACATCTCAAGAGAAAGTCTACTCAGCTCAGCATAGATATTAGTGAAGGGTAAAAACTACCTAGAATGAGAGTAGTTACAACCTGAGGGTAGTCAAAGTCCTGGCAAAGATTGAGAATGCTAAAATTCTCTTATTAATCTTCCCCTTGTAGAATTCACCAGAATAAAGGCAAAAAAGGAAACAAAAAAATTCTGAGGAGGTGAAATTTATATATGAAGTAAATAAATACATAGTAATCAGACACTGGAGTATTTTACTTAAACTCCCCTTTCAGGACTAAAATACTCATTTCTTCTGATGATTGGAATATTTGCTTTAAAAACCAACACTTTCAATCTCTATAAACAATGTAAATCTTTATCAAAATTTATGCCACCACATGGTACCAGTTCTTTCCAATGATTATTAAGTGAAATTTACAAACGGAGTGGACATTTACCTTAATTAGTGACAAGCAGGAAGGATCCTCTCAACGGCAAAACTCCTGTAGAGTGAGAAAAAGCATCTTTTAAGTCAACATTGCATGTCCTCCACAGTTCTACTTCCCAAGGGTACTGTAAGTCTGGTTCTCCCTGCTTTCCATAGTAAATGTGCCTGTCATTTTCTCAAAGTTTCTTCCTGGAAGCTCCGAACTAAGACAGTGTCTCTGTTTTCTATTTCTAGAGAGAAGCCCTTGCTTCACATAAAAAGTGACACTTCTCAGCTTATTTAAGTTGCATGGGAAGCCAACATTTGTAAAATTTGTGAAGTGTTTGGAATGTCCATTCTCACCTTGTCTCAACACCCCTGGACCAGTTTCTGGTTCGGACATCCAGTCTTCACTTTCTGTGGGCCAAGCCCTTCATAGAAAAGCAAATGGGATAGTCAGGTGGTAGTGTCACACATCTTTAATCCCAGCACTCAGGGGCATTGGTAGGGTTCAAAGCCAGCCTGGTCTACAGAGTGAGTTCCAGGACAGCCAGAGCTACACAGAAAGACCCTGTCTCAAAAAATGAAAAACAAAAAACAAAATAAAACAAATGGGAAAAACTCACACAAGAGACTGACACCACTGTCAACTGCCAGTTTCCATCCACTGCTGACAGGGTGTGTTTTATAGGATCTAAACTTATCACCTCCAAATTAGACTACTGTTTTTTATGGCTTGCTTTTTTGCTTCTGATGGTCATCACAACACAAATTAAGTGTTTAATAATTCTTGAATGTGTTAAGGTGATGGTAGGCAGAGAGAGAGAGAGAGAGAAGAAGAGGAGGAGGAGGAGGAGAAGGAGGAGGAGAAGGAGAAGGAGGAGGAGGAGAAGGAGAAAAGGAGAAGGAGAAGGAGAAAAGGAGAAGAAGGAGAAGGAGAAGGAGAAAAGGAGAAGGAGAAGGAGAAGGAGAAAAGGAGAAGGAGAAGGAGAAGGAGAAAAGGAGAAGGAGAAGGAGGAGAAGGAGAAGGAGAAGGAGAAGGAGAAGGAGAAGGAGAAGGAGAAGGAGAAGGAGAAGGAGAAGGAGAAGAAGAAGAAGAAGAAGAAGAAGAAGAAGAAGAAGAAGAAGAAGAAGAAGAAGAAGAAGAAGAAGAAGAAGAAGAAGAAGAAGAAGAAGAAG